TTGACTTCTGGGGACCTCTGTTTTGTAAATTGGGAGACTGTGGAGAAGCCAAGGTTCTACTTCACACTAGGAAAAGTCATTATATGCAAGCACCTGTTTCCTCTTCTGTACCATGGACCCCATTTCTGGGCTGTTGGCTTTGAAATTGTTGGTAAAGGACCAGCAGGTGGCGTGGTGGTTAAGGCCCTAGACTCCCACAAGGCAGAACGCGGTTCAGGTTCCCAGTTCCCACCAGGCGGCTTGAAAACCACGCCCAGCTCCTGTGTGAGCCTGTGTGCCCATGATCCCGAGAGGCGAATGGAGAGAAGGGGTTATGGCGTGGCCATCCTCCCTGGGGCAATTTCTCACTTTCCCTCTCGTTGTTTCTCTCTGTTTCTCTTCTCTCCAATGAGCACAGGCACCTTATGAGAAAAAAAAAGAAAGAAATTGTTGGCAAACCAAAACTTTGAGGTTGTAAAAGATCTGAATGGGGACTGGGTTCTCACCTTAACCGACAATTTAGAAAATGATTCTGTGTCATTTCTGAACTCAGCCTGAGCCGGGAAAGAATGGAAAGAGCGTCTTCTCTCGGCCCCTCTGGACCAGCGCCCCCCCAGCCACAGACAGCACTCTCCCCGGCCGCGAGCCACCCAGGCGCAAGGCCTTTTCCCAGGGAAAGCTGACGGCTGGCCGCTGGGCATCCACGTGCTAACCCGGCAGGCGCGCGCTGGCTGGGTGGTTCCAGAGCTGGACGCGACCAGTGGGAGCTTGAGGGGCGGGGAAGATAGTGACGTCAAAGTCTAGGCCTACCCTTCTTAAAGGCGCAGGTTTGCTTCTAGTGTACTTTTTTTTATTTTTTGGGGGGGGTTGTAACGATGGCTCGGAAGTTTTAAAGGCGAGGTGGGTGGTGGGGTCTCGCGCCCAGTGCTGACCCGAAAGAAAAATGTGTTTCCCTGAGAAGCGAGATCAGAGACGTTAACGCTGGATTTAAGTCTACTTGTCGCCCTGGGAAGGCCTCGGAGATTGCACCAGATAGATTAGAATCCCAGGCTAGCTTCGAGCCTCAGTTTCACCTTCTGTAAAGTGGGGCAACCTATTTCAATAACAGCCTGCTTCAAAAAACGTTGAGACCTCGTTAAAATAATGACGAGAGAAACCGACACAAAAAGGCCGGCTCCCTTCCCCCGCCCAGTGCTCTCACTGTGTGCAAAGAATCCGAGGCCCAAAGTTGTGTTGTAACTTGCCCAAGGTCACGCGGAGGTGGGGCCTGGGTCCGCGGGCTCTCAAGCCAGCCTTCCGTCTGTCCAGCCCGCCCGGCCCGGGTTGCATAGCTCGTCTAACTCAATTGCCCACACCCGCACGGTGCCCTAAAGTTTATAAAGTGCTTTCGGAGTTGCAGCCTCGCTCGGTGCTTTGTGAAACAGTGATGAAGCTAATACCCGCAAAATACAGTGGTCGCGAAGTTGGCAAAGCTCAGCAGGGCGCCCGGCAGGTAAATGTTTGCCGTTACAGTTGATCGCCCGGCGACCTTGTGGGGCCGATTCTCACCGCCGCCGCCGAGCGGACGAGGACTCTCGCGACCGGACAGTGCCTAACCCACGCGTCTGGAAGGTTGGCGGCAGCGCTAGGACTCCGGGTGCAGCGCTCCGCCCGGGGTGGTGGTGGTGGTGGTAGTAAGGGTATGAGGATGAGCTGTCAAGTGCGGAGCTGCCACCAGGTCAAGAGCGACCTAGGCCCGCAGGCCTCAAGGAGTCCAGGGCAAGAATGGAACCGGCCCGCGTGGCCGCGGAGCAGGGTCGGGATCGCCGCAGGTGGGGGAGACGCGAGTAGGCGGGGCCGGCGGACTCCGGGCTTGTAGCCGGTTGGCCCGTGGGGGGCGGGGTCTGGCAGCGCGTCGGGGGCGGGGCCGGTCTAGCTGCTCTCGGAGTCCGCCTCCAAGCTCCGCGAGCGCGCGCGGACCCAGCACCGGCCCCGGCGCCGCCATGGGCCCGCGCCG